AATTTAGATGTTTAACTTTGAGTAATATCTAGCAGACAAGCATTTTGTATCCTGTTGCCAATTTGAATGGTAACATGTAACTCTGTCTCGTGCACTTTGGCCATATAGCCAAGAAGGACTAGTTTTTGCAGAAGATATCATGCTAGGAAGGGTCAAGAGACAGCACAGGAGAGAAGGACACCAGATAAAATGCATTGACACAATAACTGGGGTAAAGAGAGTAGGTGTGTCAGAGATAGTGAGATTGGCTCAGGATAGAGCAGAGTTCAGAGCTAGTGTATAGGGTTGCTATGAGTCGTAGACGATTCAACGACACATAACAACAACAATGAAAACTGAGAAATGCAAATTAAGACTATAAGCTATCGTTTCATTGTTGGAGGGTTTTTATAAAGATTTACAACCTTGGGAACCCCATGAGGTAGTTCTACATTGTCCTGTAGGGTCATTGCCAATTGGAATATATTTAACAATATTGGATTTGTTTACTGTTTAAATATGTGTAATACAAACAAGGGTGACGGCAACATGGAGACAGCTGGGTCTGACCTCTGCTAACTCCACAAGGGGAAATTATCCCCATCAACAGCATCCACACACAAAACCAGTTCTCATGGGGTCAGACATGTCCCACATGCTTGCATACCTATTCCTACTAATTCCCATACCAAACTTTCTACCCTACTGGGTTACAAATCCATTGCCATAGCTACACAGATTATATAGAACCATACTCACTATTATAAGGTTTGTTAGGGAAGTAAACAAGATACAATTTTACACTCAGAGCAGCTTCCAAAACATGCTCGCTCACAGTCCATCAGTATCACAGCTTTGCTATTGTTGTTAGGTGCAGTTGAGTAAAACACATAGTGACCCTATGAACAATAGATCTGAACTCTGTCCTGTCCTGTGCCATCCCCACAATCTTTGACACTCTTGAACCCACTGCTGTAGTCACTGTGTCAGTCCACTTGGCTGAAGATCATCCACTCTTTCACTGTCCACCACCTTCCCAAGTAATGTCTCTTTCCAGTAAATAGCGACATGCTCAAAGTTTGTGAGATGAAGCTTCATTGTGTTCTTGCGGCTTTAGCCCAGGGTTAGTAAGCTCTCCCCCAAGTTCTCCAGCCAGCTTGGGCAAAGGCTTCTGGTGCTGGTTCTGTAGGGTAGCAGTCCCAGGGCAGCTCGATCTCATGTCAGGTCTCTAGATTTCTGATGAAGCTGCTGCTGCTTCTCTAGGTCTTGGTCTGAGTGGCACAAGATTCTCTAGCCCAGAAGTGTATGCACTGCATTCTCTCCTTCTCCTTTGTTGATGGCAAGATTCTCAAATTCTGCTGCTGAATCCATTCAATTTAATGGGAGACTAGCCAGTCCCCTTGTGCATAGAAAAACACATCTATTTCCATATTCCCACCCATGGCTAAGTCTAAGTCAGTGGTTAGGAAAGCCATTTCTAAACAATAAACCCTGACACCACAATATTTTTTTTTTCATGTGTATCATCTATGGAGAAATGTCTAGTTAGGTCCTTTTCCCACTTTTAAACTGGGTCTTATGTCATTATGGTTGAATTATTTGTTGCCATTGTTAATTGTAATAAAGTTGATTCCAAGTCATTGAAGCTCTTAATGTAATCTTGATATTAAAGACTTAGCTTAATAATATGCTTTGAAATCTGAATGTGTGAGTCTACATACTATCTTCTTCTCTTCAATATTGTTTTGGCTATTTATTGTCTATTGAAATCCCATATCATTTTGGGGATTGGCTTTTTTATTACTAGAGGAAAAAAGGATGCTATTGAGATTTTTGTAAAACGTCTGAGAATTGGCTGGATTAGGAAGCAAAATTAATTTTTAAAAGGTATTATTGACTCTTCAAGGATTGCGTCTGTTCCTAAATGAAGTTTCTCTTCCACAACTACTATTTTAATCTGTTGCAGAATCAGCCTTTTCTCCCAAGCCTGAGCATCCCAACTCCACATTTACAAATTAAAATCCAAGGGCCCTTTTTACTTTAACTTTACTAGACACTACATCCAATAGAGCGAGCTTGTAATTTTATACAGTGTCAGTTGGTGCTTCTAATTTGTGGCTTCTATTAATTCTACAAAATCCATGAATCTTTAACATTCAGTTTGCTTAAAATGAGTAACAGTGTATTTTTTTTCTTCTCAAATGTAACTCAAGCTGTGTTTTAAATGTCCTCCTTTTAGGAAGCAGCCATATATCGTGGGTGATTTATTCACTTTCATGTTCCTCAAAATTTATTGCCAAAGGTTGACATGAATACTTACAGTTTGGGCCATAATATCATCTCCTGAATGGCAATTAATAAATAAGAGGTAGTTACAGTTGTTGACAGAGGAGGTAGGCTTTCTCAGAGAGTTTTCATCTTCATATTTTCACCAAACTTCATGTCAGGCATCCCTAGGTTTAGGTGGTGTAAAATAGTCTCTGTAAACTCAGTAAAGAATTTTACTGTTGTCCAAATACCCCAAACCTCTGGGTTGCCTTTTGTTTTCTTGTCAGACATGATCTTACTCAATTTCACTTCCTTCAATTTGTTTTCCTTCCCGAGAATACATGAACGGTGCTTCTTTATGGATTCAATAGTAACATCTCGTCAATTTTTATGACTTGCAGGTAGCATCTGATGCCTGTTCCTGAAATTTCATGTAATGGGCTGGGGGTGGGGGTGGGGGACGTTACGCTCTCATCTCTGCTACATTTATTGAAGATACACTGTCACCAATATAGTGCAATGTCTGTTGTCATCAAATATATTGTTCAAAGTAGATAGTTACCTCCTGTGGATTAATTATCAATCTGCAAAGCAACATTCATTGTGTGCAATTTGCCCACTTGAGTAGGCTCCAGGGCTAATCGAGACTAATGCTCTTATTTTAGAGAGGAGGAAACCGTGGGCCAGCTTAAGTGGCTTGCCTGTAATCAAGCAGCTAGTTAAGTGGCAGAAGCAGCTCTGAACCTCATGATTTCCACTTCGGTGTGTAGAGAACTGAGACTGAGCACATCTTTAGGCATTAAAGTTTATGGTACAGAGCAAGGAATCCGCATTTAGACTGCCTGCATTCAGATCCCAGTTCTGATGCTCATTAAGTTGGTAACTTCGAACTTATTTGACTGTTCTGTGCCTCCATTTGCTGAGTTGTAAAATGGAGCTAGACATATAATAACATACATGTAAGGATTTTAATAAATTAATATATGAGAGTCACTGAGAAGAGTGCTTAGAGCAGATTAAGCATTCCCATTCACTGTAAGCTGTTAGTATCACTCTTAATATATTGTTTTTAAAATGCTTGGAGCATGTGTATGTTGCTTAACTATATGTGGATATATATATATATAATATATATAAATTACATATTATATATTATACCATATTATTTATTGTATTGTATATAAAAATTAGACCTTTATTGTACCTATTTTATATTTCCTGTTCATGTAACACTGTGCTAAACAAGTGGTAGTGGTATTTATGATTGGCAACATTAGCAGAAGCAAAAGGAGTAATGATAGTAATAAAAGCTAGTGTTGTTTATTGAGGCTTACTATGTGGAAAGCTTGAAGTAGGTACTTTGTGCACATGATCCTACACTGAAATTAATTTCCAGAAATTCAAGTGTGGCCTCTTTATGACAATAATCCCCTTTGTAACTGAAGAGGAACCTGAGCTTTTGGTCCTCGTGGAAAAGCTCTGAATGTTGAAACAGGAATGCTCCTAGAATTCCTCCTGTTTTAAAAATAATCCCTGTGCAGCCAGGATTTACATGCCCTAATCTTGTTACAGAAAAGTAGAGGAGTGGCTGGAGGAGGAGGAAACAGAGATGAGGGTAAAAGGTGAGAGGAGGGAGGGGCAAAACAAGACCCTCTAAATGGAAAATAATCTGAAAGAAAATAAAGTATTAAAATTCATTTATTCTTCATACTTTTTTCCTTTTTGTATTTTCATATAATAAAAAAAAATTTCCTCATTTATTGATGCCTGAACAGAAATACCCTTGGAACACTAAGCATTGACATAAAAATGTTTTCTTTTTTAATTGTTTAATTAAGTTGCCTTTACCTTACAGTATGAGCCACTTAGCCCAATTCTAACTTGTAGAGACCCTATAGGACAGAACTTGAATGTTGGGATTGTAAGGCTATAAAGTGAGAAAAGTAGATGAGTACATATTTCTCTGTTGGAATGGCTGGCATGTTTAAATCCTGACTTGACTGGTTAACAGTCAGGTGCTTTAACCACTGTACAACTAGGGCTTCTATAGACCCACTAGGATAAAGTAAAATAGTTAATCCCCAAAATGTATAATCACATCATACTGTTGGATTTGCATGCAGTCAGATCCTAGACATCATCAGAATAATCGTGGCTATAATAAAAAATGTGTAGAAGAGTGCCTTGGACAAGTATTAGACGAAAAGCGGTCACTGTATGAGATGCTCTAGATGTATAAGGGTGTAGTGTTCAGACATTTATACACACACACAGATACATGTAACCTCTATAGATAACTACAACTTTTCAAATATATATTGAATGAGCGTGTGCATATGTACATACATCCATATACATTTTTGTGTTGTGTACACTGTTCCTTCACATAGATAAGGTGAATGTTACTGAGTTTGGGCTTAGTGGCTCTATGGTTTTTGCAGACTCTATGTGTTAGCTTCCTATGTGTGCCATCGACATTATTCCCAAGAACATGTTGTATTAGAAAAATGCAATATGTTATTAAGTCTTTACCTTAACTTTGTGAAATAGGAAACAGTGTCTTAGAAAAGTTAAACCTTGCCCTCAGGATCACAAAAAGCAGGAAAGTTCCACCTACTTAAAGCCTCTTCCTTTGGTCCCCAGAAGAACCATAAGTCTGTTACCATACCATACCATACCATACCATACCATACCATACCATACCATGCCATTCAGAAAAAGGGGTGACTCTTTTTTTTCTTTTTCTCTTCCAGAATCTCCAGGCAAAGATATTGGTCCAACACTAGGCTTGAAAAAATCCAGCTCCCTGGAGAGCCTACAAACTGCTGTGGCCGAGGTCCGAAAGAATGAACTTCCCTTCCACAGGCCCCGGCCTCACATGGTTCGAGGTCGCGGCTGCAATGAGAGCTTCAGAGCTGCCATTGATAAATCCTATGATGGGCCTGAGGAACTCGAAGCTGGTAGGATTGCACTTCTTTAAGTGGTTCCTTCGTCTCATTATTATCTGCAAATCACAAGCAAGAATATGTGCTTAACTACTAAGAAAAATGACTAAAGAATCACAATTATATTTTTGATATTAAAAGTAATTCATTTTCCTGATATGTTTTGCCCTATGGCTTAACAAACATGCAATTGAACAGCGGAAGACACGATTTATTTTGCAGTGCAAATGCTAAAGAAAGTGTTCTCCACTTGCCTACAAGGACTCACTGTCATTTGCCCTTGAGGGGGAGCACTAAGTATGCATTTCTTGACATTCAAGTCATTAGAAGCAGCGACGTCAACCTGAGGACTGACTGCATTAATTGGGTAGAGCAGTTAGGTTATATTTGTACTCAAAACCTCTCCTGGAAATAAACTCCTCCTGTTTGTTTCCCAGCATGTGGGCTTTTGGAGCTGATCAAGGTTAACAAGCCAGCTTTCCAAGAGATTAGTGTTTTACCACATATCAAGCCTTTGGTACCCCCGCCAAGCATTGTCCCCCACTCCTGCCATCGCACCTCACTCAAAGTGCCCAGATTTCAGGCAGTCATCCCTTCAAAGGGTACAAGTAGCCACATGGAAGGGCAGAGCTCTGGAGGGCTTTTATTCATTCTTCTGGATTTTACATTTTTAACTTGTCTCTCTATGCTAACTGCAAGTGCCCGTGACCGTGTGTATTGATTTTTTTTTTTCTGTGCAGATGGTCTGTCTGATAAGAGCTCTCACTCTGGCCAAGGAGTTCTGAATTGTGAATCTGTCCCTCAGGGGAGCTCGGAGCTAGAGGACAGAGAAAATAAAGCCAAGAAAGTGAAAAAGCCAAAGGAGAAGGAAAAGAAAAAGGATAAGGGCAAGCTGAAAGTCAAAGAGAAAAAGCGAAAAGAGGAAAATGAAGATCCAGAAAGGAAAATCAAGAAGAAGGGGTTTGGCGCCATGTTGAGGTATAGGCCTGCTTGGAAGGCCAAGTTGTTTGTGCGTCCTTTATTTCTCTTTAGTTCTCATAAAATCACCGATGGTCTGTTTGTGGGGAAATGTGCCAGGTTACCCTTGTCTTCATCTGAATACAAGAATCTAAGCTTTGAAGGTGCATGTTTCTGGTCTTGCAGAGCCTGAAGGAAACTTCTTAGGCCTTAGGCTGGTTCTGAAACTCTGGGTGATGACAGGAGGCTGCTAGACAGAAGCCCCATTGTGAAGAAAGAATGAGTCTTAATTGAGAGGTGGATAGGACACATCTTTAATACCAAACCCTCATGGGAGTAAATGTAATGCTTCTTACAAATAGGGAAAGCTGGTGGTCTTTTAGTAAGAAGCCACTTTGCAATCCCAAACACACGCAGTTCAAATCTACCAGATGCTCCACAGGAGAAGAATAGGCAATCTCTCTCCATACAATTCACTTCCTCTGAAAACCTGCTGGAGAGTTAGCTGTGAGTTGATTCAAACTCAACAGTACACAGCAATAATCAGGTGCTGGGAAAGCAAAAGATACCAATAGACTATCATGATGAAATTAGAGAAGTTTGAGTTGATATGAACATACTATGACCAGCATGGGAACAGTAGTCTGACCTCCACTAAATCCACAAGGAGAAAGAATGCCCATAAAGAACATCAACAACATAAAGCTGACTCTTGTAATGCCAGACATGTCTCCATGCCCCCCTCCCTTTTCTTTTCTCAACTATAGCATGAGTCATGCCTCACACAGGTCTTGCTACTCGATTACTGGGTTCAAGAATTTATTGCCGTGAACACACAGAACTTACAGACAGGACCAAAATAATTGGGTTTATCAGGAAAGTAATAGGTTTCAATTTCTGTTGGAAGGACTCAGGATGCAATTCCTCAGGCCAGATACCTTCTCAAGCATGCTGTTAAGCCGACCTCCCTGAGACCAGTAGCTTAATGGCTGTTATGAGCCTCTTCTCAAACCAGTAAACTTAGGCCAAGCTGTTTATCTCTGGCTCTGTGGATCAGCAGAACAGTTCCACTCTGCCTCACACCATCTCTTTGTCTCTGCTGCTTTTGATGCTGTCTTTGCTGCTGCTGCTGCTGCTGCTGCTACCGTTGTATCTCAGTGTGGCTCTGTCTCATGCGGGAATAATGTCTGGTCCAAAGCAAGGCTACACTCTCTACTTCTTCTTCCTTGATGGGAGTGACATTCTTATTTTCTACCTCTTAACCTACTCTCTAAACTTGGTGAGATCGCAAAATAGAGCAATCTCGTATTAACAAACTAAACATCTTATTTGTATGTACTCAACCAAAAGCTGCTATTATCCTTGTTTATATTACTAGCACACTGTTTAATCCCCTTGATGGCCCACAAATACTGCACGTTTTCATAGTTCTGCCCAGCCATGTGGTGAGAGTTATATCCACAATGGGTAGAAAAGCCATAATGAATAATCCACTATAGCATACTAGATGAACCTGTTTGCCAGTAACCTAGGACTGAAGGCAAATAGCTTTTACGCCATTGGTCAATGAACTCAGTTCCTGAAAAAAATGCCTAAACTCGGGTTCCTTACTCAGTGGACAAGGAAGCCTGCAGCTCTGTTGCTTCTGCCATCTCTGCTGTTGTTCTTTCTTTGCCACCCTTTCTTAGGACCTTGTCTCATGCTGTTTTGTGCTATCTCTCTGGTATTAAAGCCCTCAGTCTCTGAACTCTGGGATTGCAGCATGGGTATCTCAGGTCCAAATGATGCTCTTTACTCCATGACCTTCCTTCTTGATGCCACTGTGATCCTCTTTGTCCTCCTCTGGTTAGCTCATTTTAAGTCTAGCAGGATGTTAGTGCTGACAAGTCCTCACATTAATAATCTCTGTACCTTATTTGCATGGTTCTCCCCACCCCCGCAAGTGTAAAATGTACCATATTTACATTATTACCAGGTATCTACTCCCTTTGATGGCCTGAATACCTCATGTTTCTATAATTCTACCAAGTTATGTGGTGGGAGTTAACAAAGACCATGACTACAAGAGACACATCAAGTAATTTGCAAGCACCCAGGTACCTCTGAAAACATTGTATGGTGCAAAGGAGAAATAAGGTTTTGAATGGATTTTGTGTTTCTAGTAATCAAACCTTAAAATAAATTGGGAGATTGTCCTGAATTACATAGGGTAATCTGAGAGGTTGTTATAAGTAGAAGAGAAGATAAAACCATGGAAGTTACAGGGAGATTCAACACTCACTTAAGAGGTAGAAACTGATTTATGAGCCAAGGAATACAACCGCCCTATAGAAGCTGTAAAGGAAAAAGAAGCAGATTTTCTCTTAGAGTCCTCAGAAAGGAATGTGATCTTACTGACCCCTGATGGAAGCTTTAAAAAAATTTAAAAAATCACTGGTAGCATGTACAGTTTTTTAGCCCCTGTCTGCTAACTGAAATGTCAGTGGTTCAAACCCACTAACCACTCCTCAGAGAAAGATGTGCTAGCCTGCTTTCATTAGCATTGATTGTCTTGGAAATTGTGGGGTATATATACACTGTTCTAAATGGTCACTTTGTATTCTGTATCAAAAATGACTCAGTGGCAACATATCTAGGCATTGTTTGAGCTGATAAATTTGTAGCAATTTCTTACCACTACAGTCAATAAGTAAATAAGTTATCAGAATTATTATTACTACTGCTATAAGAACATATTTTAAAAATAACTTCTTAATATGAGAAATGAAAGGAAAAAAAGCTATCAAGATTGTGATATAAAAAACTGTTAGCACTTCCTATGCTCCCAATTTTCAAACTGCTACTAAATTAAGCCTTAACTGTATATTCTGATTTCCAATGACTTGATTTGGGAGGTTTACACTCCATTGTCCATAAGACAATGCCAGCTCTTCTCTATTGTTGTCTAACATACTCTGTGTTTCCTGAGGTAGAAATTGCAAGTCTCAGATCCTTTAGACATTTACTAACTTGAGTTTTGTTTCCTCCCCTTATTTTAGCAAAATTAAGCTCTGAAAGGTGGTGTTTGATTTTTAACTTGCATGTAAAAATAGCAACTGTTTTCCATAGCCTCTTGCATCCAAATCTGTGAGCATATTGGAGTTGCTGCTACATGCACATTTTCAACAACAAAGAACTCAAAAGCTGTTACCATTAGCCAACAGATTTTGCTTTCATTCTCATCTGTTGCTCAGATGCTATTGACTTAGATTCTTTCTTATTTAAAAGAGATTGATTGCTTTTAGATGCTCTTAGAGTTAGGTATGTGGCTTAATTGCCTATTATTTTGTGCATTTTCTATGTTTCACTGACACCTTCTTGAACTCAGAGGTTTGAGGTAAGTTGTTCAGTTGTGCCATGCATCTGATCAAGGGAATTAATGGGAACTGAAATTCTGCCTCCCTGTCCCCGCTAAGCCATGCACCATAGAAGGTGAATGTGTTAACCCTGGTCTTAACCCTTGTACTTGAGCTTCTCTAGTATGGTATTAACTGGCCTAGTCATTCTAACAACGTGCAATTGTAGAGTTTAGGTCACTTGTTCAATTCTTTAACCTCTCTTGGAAAAACTGTGGGAATCTATCCCCTTCACGGTTTAGTGTATATTGTCTAGCTGTCATATGCTTACACTTGACTGGTTTGGAATTGCCTCCTTTCATGATTCTTAGTGTCATTTTCATGTAGAGCAGGAATTTCTGTAGAAAAATGTGTAACTGAGGAACCTGCCAGTTTTAGAAGTTTCTCTATATACTTGCTTATTCTCTGCTGAAAGAGAACTTCAGGGGATAAAGATGCTTGAATTGTGAAAGGCTAAAGCTGCCTGAATTGTATCTGAGTTATAGGTTTGGCTTCCTTGGGCATGGTGCCCATCATGGCACTTCTTGGCAGAAAGACCACTCATGGCTCTTTGGTGGTCTTTGGAAGAAGTTCAGGCTCCTCCAGTGGACAAATCCTTTGCTCTCAAGTCCAGGTCACCTTCCTACAGCCTAACACATGTTTTCTAAGATCTTGAAGAAAATCAACCCTTAACTCGGGAAACTTTGCCAGTCTGGAGTAGAAAACCCAAAGTTCCTGATTTTTTAACTGCTTAATTATCTGGTCAACCTTTACATTCTTTAAATTGTGCTCTAGCCTGGATTGAGTCTAAAAGTCATTCCTGTATTTGGTCTCTTGTGTTGTTCAATCTTTGTAGTATAGGCCACTCTCTTCAAAGGAAGCCTCTGAACTTTTCACCTTGCCATAGACTTTGAATTGAAAGGATTAGTATGATTCAAATTCTTTTTCCTGTTCTCTCTGTGTGATTTAGTAGTAAGAGAAATTATGCCTAATAAACACCTTCTAAATGGGTTTTTTTTAAAGTGCAAAACCTGCCAATAGAAACTTAATTCTGTTTTAGAACTGTTTGCACATATTCATTTGATTAGTAAATTTATCAAATTCCTACTCTTTGCCAATCACATTAATAATTCATAATCATTCTTTTATTTATTCAACAATGCTCATCAAAGGCTTATTTTGCATCACACAGTATTCTAGGAACTGGGCACATAACGATGAAATCTGTTTATGAGGAATTTCTCTTAATAAAGGAGGAAGAAATAATCTTTTTTTAATGTCTTGGAAGTTTAAAACAAAAAGAAGCAAAATCATATAAATACATGTTACTTTTAGTATCTTAGGCATTCACCTGAATAACTCTATGACAAACCAGTACCATACCCACTGGAGGAAATCAACAGTCCATTTGTGCTGTACCATACAAGGCCTTCTATAGCTTTAAAAAAAAAAAATGAGGCCAAATCCAAACAGCTCACACACTATTGTGAACAACAGGCACACCTTAGTCTTAAACCCAAACCAGAAAACACCCCTTAGCAGAATCCGGCCATTCTACTCATTTTCTCAGCCTAGAAATAGCCAAAATCTATGACTCTACAGAATTTACAACAACAACACTATAAAGCGATCATGGGTTTTCATGTA